TGGCATGGATGGCGGGTCAAGAGTAGTGTGCTAAGGTATGTTGAATTTTGGATGGCCAACCCATCAAGTTTTGAAGATTTATAGCTTTTGTCATTTTCTCTATCCTTTGTGTAGTATAGTTATGGTTTTTTGTTTTGGATTTTGGTTTTCTTAAATTTTACAATTACTAAAACCCAACACTAAAAATAAAAAACTTATAATTTGTTTAAGTTGAGTTTTAACAATGACAACAAAAAATGTAAACTTGTTCAACAATATTAAAATTATTTTGTTTTTAATATTTTAATAATTATGACAGTATGTTGCAAAAATAAATTAAAATAAAAACAAAAAAACCATAGTCATACTAAATAGAACTTTAATTTTAGCTTGAAGATCGAATTCTAGATATGTGATTAAAAATATAAGTAATTTTACTATCAAATTACATAGTTGATAATTTAAATAGAATCTTAATATTTTTATATGCTTGGTTCCTTCAGTTTGGCTTTGGTCTAGGTTTAACTAATTGGGTATGGGAGATCTCGTGAGCATAGCTTTATGATAAATAAGGTGACGGCCTAGATTTTGTTATTCAAAGTTTGCCTTGTGCGTTTTGTTGCAACAAACCAAAGAAAACGTGGGATCACAAGATCTATCTAGAATTTGCTTTGATAATTGAATGATGCTCTTTGAGAGATGAGATGATAATTCTTTCAAGGGATTACCAATCATGCATGTTTTCTAAAATTTGTAATTGATGACCATGACCATTTTATTTGTGGACTTTATAAATCAACTTCCTAAATTATTAATGGAATTGTCATTCATAAAAGGAGAAAGGAAGAACAATTTTAAGAGTAAACCTCCATTTAAAAATTGTCTTAACATCTCCCTAGATTTAAATAGTTTTAAGTTTCAAGTGAAAATATCAAATGGTTAAAAATTTGAAATCTAAGCTAATTATTTGATATCAAACCGTAAGACATGTGAATAAAATTAAAGAAATGTAAAACCTATTTTCTATTGTATAACTAATTTATTTTTTGATGTAAACAAAAGTAAAATAGTTTTAACATCTAGTCAAACCTTATTTTAAATTAGAAATCAAATTTTTCTTCAACTTGAGAAATTGCATAACATTTTAACCCCAAATTATAAGAACTTCAAAAATTGAGGGCAAAATAATAGAAATTTATCTTTTATTAAATTTATAGGGACTTGAAAAAACAAGTTCAAGGACTAACCAAAAAAAATTGAAACGACAAAGTGTTTTTCGTCGTTTTGAGGAATCCAATCACTGTTGTTCACTCCACAAAACCCGTCAATTCCTCCTCTAACAGGAAAACCAAAAAAATGAAGAGAGTCATATTAGCTTTCTTCCTCACTCTTTCACTCTTCTCCTTCCCCTCTTTCCAATTCAAATCCAATGAGCTCCTCCTAGATGACGAGGAGTTCGGTCTCAAGGGCACTCCGCCTCACTTCCCTGAACCCGCATCCATCCCTGCTGCTACTAGATCCTCCCGGAAGAGGCATTCAGAGTCGGAGTCTGGCTCCAAGATCCAGTTCTCTCTGGATCACACTTTTGGTGACTCTGATTTTGTTCCTGCTAGTACCTTCTCTGCCCGCCTCAAGACTTGGAATCACGGTGGCCAGGTTAGATTTAAATTCAGATGCTAAATTGCTAATCATGAATTCATTCCTGATTGCTAATTTAGCTTGTTGGTTGTTTTCGTCCTGTATGGCTATTCTGGTGATCGATTTATTTGCTAAAACAAAGTTTAAAAACTGAGGTTCAAATTGGGGTTTACTAAAGAGCTTACACTTCCTCTTCCACTTCTCTTTTTTCACTTTTATCTCAGAAACTCAATGAAGTTTTTGAATTTTTTTGTTGAGATTTGAAGATTGATTCTGATTACCTTGTCAATTACAGTTGGCTTGCTGTTATTTTTATAAAAGCCCTAGTACGATAATGGATTTGACATGCAATTTTTCTTTTTGACAGACACTAACAAAGCTGCGGTTTTCAAGAAATGGTTTCACTGATGTGGAGAAGGAGAAATTCAAAGTAATTGCATGTTATCTGGAATCAATTCATGTGTATCATAAATTATTGTACATTGCTTTGATTTGTATGGTTCTCTGTCCTACAGGATTTGCTTCAAGGTGATGACTTTTACAAGATAAGGCTCCCATCCAATGTTTTGAGTCCTTCCAGGAGGTATTCTATTATCTCATCGGTGAAAGCAGTAAGTTAACCTTAGGTTTTTTATGAATTCCAAACGTTTTTATCTTTTCTGGTCAATTATCTTCTTCTTATAGGTTAAGCTGTTAAGCTTGTTCGTCAAATGGACATTTAGTTTTCTGCATTCGGATTGAAACTTTTATAACATGTAGTTATCTATCAAATTTAAGGTCTTCACCTGCTAATGTTTGACCAAGCTCATCATGAGGGTCTCTACAATCTGCCTTAAATCTATTCACCATACAGCATGCCATCTGAAGTTTTATTTCATCTCACTGTTTGATCGTAGTTGCTTTTGTTATGAACTAATACTCTTAGCATTTTGTATAAAAGAAGTTGTATAATTTTCCCATAAATTTTGATGCTATAAAAAATTGACAGCAGAAGTTAGGACTTTTTGGTTTGAATTTTAAACTTTAGCTTTCAAATATTAATTTAAAAAATGTAATGCCAAAATGCTCTTCCATCAATTACCAAATTGTTCTAAAAATTTAAGTATACTGTCTCTTTTTGAATTTGTATGGTTCTTCACTATCTTTTTGTTTAACTGCAAAGATGTCTTCCATGGGAGGGTTTGGATGAGCATTTTGTCATACACACAGTAATTTAGAGTTAATTTTACATGTTGGTGCTGCATCTCCCCTCCCCCTCCTAGGTGTGTTGCTTTGTTGCTGATTTCTTGTTTGTATCTTTCATTTAATGTTCAAGGTTGTATGTGTTTCTTGAAAAATGAATGAAAGATCATAGATTTGCTTGTTTATTTACCTTGATGAATCTGTTCATCTTTTGTTGGAAATGAGATGTATTCATGTTGAATCCTAGTTTCTTGCGTTGTTGCATGTTTGATCTTCTTTTTGTTTATTTTATGTTCGGGTTGTGTTTTTCAGTCGGGTCGATCAAACCCGATCCAGTAAAAAAAATACATAATATAAATAAAACGAATTAATTAATTAAGATAATTAACTTAATTTATGATTAGTAATATTAATTAATTTTAATTAAAATAAGTTAATCATATTTATTGATCTTAATTTAAGATAATTATATTATTTATCTTAATTAAAGATTAATAATGTGATTAATTAATTTTAATTAATCTTAATTAATGTTAAATTAATTATTTAATTAAGTTAATCATCATATTAATTAATTTAAATCCTTAATTTCTGTTAATTTTAGCCAAGGTCAAAGTTATCTTTTATTTTATCTTAATTTCATCCAAAAGTTTTTATGATTAAGCAATTTAGTCCACATATTTTAACTCTTTTCAAATCAGTCCTCTATGTTTTGAATTTAATCAAATTAGTCCCTTTAATTTTTATTTGTGCTTATGATGCATGCATGTCTTTGATTTTGTTCGTTTTAGTCCAAAAATGTAAAAAATGTTTCAATTTGGTTTATCCTTCTTCCAAGCTTGCTTATTAAGACTTAAATACAAATATGATGAACAAGTTGAATTAAAACCCACAATACTAAAGTATGCAACCGTGTTTAAACGGAGGATTGTGAGGTGCACGTATGTCCTTTCTCACTTCTAACCGAACCCCCGAACCTGATCTCTGTGCGGACCTATTTTTGGTGACTTATCCCACCTTATAATTTGGACGAGTGGCGACTCCCTTTTCTTTTATATTTTCATAACTTGATTTTTCATTTGTTTTGAAAAATCTTAAGTGGTCGTCAACACCTGCAACTTTTATGGTAAGAAATCAGCCATGTTTCTCATATTTTGATCTATGATTTTGAAGTGGGCTAAGTCTAATTCTTTAGGGTTTTTAATTTTGTGAATTTTCTGTAGTTTTCCCTTGATTTTGTGCATGATTAATGCCACCAAAAACTGATTTCCTTGACTTGCCAAAAATTTGGACTGCATTACCCTTTTGTAGTGTTTTGCCCATAACTTTTTTGTAGTCTTTTGCCCATAACTTCTTTGTAGTCATCGAATTAAGTCCATTTTTAACTCTATGGAAAGTTAAGAGATAGCCCTACAACTTCTATGTTGAATGTTTAATTCAGTTTAGCTATTTTCATGGTGAAAATGCTGCTACAATTTCAGTCCCTGCAGGCAGACTTAACTGATAGCTCGACCCTGTGTCAGTATTTTGGCCATAACTCTCTCTATAGATGTTGGATTGAGGTAATTCTTGAGGTAATTTTTGAGGCTATAGAACCTTAAAACATATGATTACAATTTATCTGTTGACCACTCAACCCAAATCAGTCAATTTCTCGACGTGAATTCTGTTGGAAATTCCAGCATGAAATTTGACCAGAACTTGCCAGCAATGTGCTTTGTTTTCTGTTTCATTTCAACTCTATCTACTGCCATATTGCATCATGATTTTCTAGATGTTTAGCTGTTGTTTTCATGCTCTAAAACCCTTTGTTATTACTTTACCTTGGCTACCCTTTTTGCTGCTTAAATGCTGTCCATTTTTGCCCAATTCTAACTCGTGTTCTACCTTTTTTTGTTGCTGTCTTTTTACCTAGAAAATCTTTGCTTTTCTATCCTAAAACAATATCTGATTTCCGCTCTTGTTATCCATTTCTGTTGCCTCAATTCTAATTTGTTTAGCTTTTGAAAAATATATATAAATATCCGCTACTTGAAAACATGTATTGTTGCACGTTTTTATGCTATAGTAGCAGCACCTGTTCACGTGATTTTATGCACTTAAATCATGCACAAGCTATCCAGATTTTTAGTTCGTTTAGCTACAGCATTTCTTGCTTAAAGGTTGTCCATTTCTACCCAGTTTTGACCTGTTTTCTATATTGTTTCTATTTTTTTTTTCCAAAAATTCTATTGGTGTCTAATATAGTTTTGGACTTGGTTTTCCACTTTTTTTTTTTTACTTGGTGCTGCCCAACAAATTTGCTTGGTAAATCTGCCCGTGTAGTGTTCTTTTAGGAGCTGTTTTAAAAAAGGGTAGAGGCAATTGGGATGTGTAGGAAAAAGTTGCTTTTTCATTTAGGAAACTTGATTTTTGAGTTAGGAACCAAATTAGTTAATGAATAAGTTGTAATCTTTTTGTACTTTGATGTGGTATAGGTTGGAAATCTCATCAACTGCCTTGAGATTGTTGAATTTCTTGCTAGTGTCTATTTACAAGGTGAGGTAAGTAAAATTTTGGTGAATGCCCTTGGATTTTAAGGTAAAAGATTTTAAAAGTATATTTAACTATTTTTTAAATGGTGGTGGGACTAAATCCGTTTTACACAAACACGAGCTTTATTGGTTTAAAAATGGAGTTGTTATCATTATTAATTTGAGCATGCCTACTTGGAATTTTCTAAACTGTTCTAATAACCTGAAATTTGTTTGTAAATTATGGACTTTCTTGTTAACTTCTGCTTGGTTTTGTCTCCAATATGGTTATGTTATTCCTATGCCTGCTAGTGGGAGGTTTATAAACGCTAGCACATGTCGACATGTTACTTATAGAACCGGTTCATTCTTGTTATAGTTGTTATCCTGCTAGTGGGATTATACACTAGCATTTTTTGAAGACGGCCCAAGGCAGAAAGAGCTATAAGTTGGGCTTAGGCTTAGGCTGCGTCTGCGTTCGGGGGGTTGTGGTGGGGCTTTTTTCAATTATATAATAATTTTAGATACAAGTATATTTGATAATTTTTTTTAATTATTTTTTTATTTATAAAATTATTTATTAAAATATAATTATGTTTAGTTTAATTATATAATAATTTATAACATTTTAT